AGATTCAGCTAATACAGTGGGTTCTCTAGAATATAAATTAAGGCAGTTCAGGAGGGCCTAAAATAAAGATCAATTAGCACCTACAGATATTTATGCCTTTAATGATATTTTCAAATTTTACTGGTTATTTTTTTGGTTTCTACTTGGTGGTTTCTTAAAGAATTTGATTGTGGGATATACTTTTGGTGCTTATGAACTGTCACATTTTGTTTGAAAAGCATCTCTGAGAGAATCTTTTTTTTTAATCTAATGCCTCCCATTGAATACATAGAGAATTGGCTTAAACATTCAAATTCAATAGCCAATGAGAACTGCAATACAAGAGGACTCTGTGTATGTGTGTAAACATTTTTGATAGTGTACCTTTTTATCTTGGTGTTGTATTTATTAACAAAGGCTATTTTTCTTTGGGGCAAATGCCAGAGTTCTTAAACATGAGTTTTGTTATGCCTTACAACAGATTGTTTTGCCCTTGAAAACATTTCTGAGGTATGGAAATCAAGATTAAATCTGTAACTATTACTCTAAATACAGCCTGTCAAGAATGTTTTTGATCTGTGTGGCAAAGCCAAGTTGTATGGCCTATGAATAACAGGTGTTCTGTTTTTAAATTAATTCCTTTGCTGACTATAGGCCTGGTTTTATTTCTTCTAGAGTCTGGGCTAACATTAGAACTGTTGTTATTTCAAAGAGCTAACACATCACCAGATGGAGTTAATAGAAGCTCCTAAGTTTGGCTAGTGGAGGGCATGAGTGCAGTTGTCAGAACATGAGCAGGATGTGTGTTTGTGTGTGGGGAGGGGAGGGTCTGCCTTAATTGCTGACATTTGGGGTCCTGATTGAGCACCTCCACCCCCATCTATCGGCTTCCAGCTGATCAGAGCTTTTCTCCAAAGATGGAAAAGAGGTCAGAATGGCCACTGGCCTGCCTTTCCGTACAGGTGAAAAGCATTCTGTCAGGTATAAGAAAGGTGGGTGGAGCCTGAGATTCTGTGTAGTCCCTAGCGTCTGAGGAATGAAACCAGCCACTGAGTTTACAGTAGCCAAGGCTCCAGGGGCCTGGAAGGTGACCTCTCCAGCTTCCCTCTTAGTGAGAGGTAAGTACTTTCTCATGGTCACTCAGCGACAGCATCATAGCTGGAGACGCTTAGGGACGATGTAGGCTGCCTCATACATTTAAAAGACCTTTCCAGGCAAAGGAGGCCTCAGAAATCATCCCCTCCAATCCCTTACACTGAAGTCAGAGAAATGGTTTGGCCAAGGTCACAAAGCAAGTCAGCAGGGGCCCCTGCAAGCCAGTGCCTTGACTGGACTTTCCAGATGGCCTTCCCTCCGGGCAGGTCTGTTCCTAGCTAGCTTTTAAGTCAGAGGTCAGCTCTTTCACAACTCCAAGACTGCCTCATGCTGCATAGTGCGGAGTCTCATCCTTAAGTGTTGGGGACACAGCTGGTCAGAGCCAGGACAGTTGCTATACCTGTGTTTTCACACACTTCTGAGAAACACAACAAGCAAAAGTGCAATTCTGCATCTCTTTATTTACAAACAGTTGGAAATGCTGTGTTCCGTTTGGGAGCAAGGGTGAATTTGGAGCAGAAGGGTTGGGTTGGGATGGGATTGAGGGCTGATTCCAGTAGTTTGCATTATATTCAGCACCAGAGCAAATGCTTGGGCTTAAGGTCACACTTTAACTTAGGTGAGTCATCGTCATCTTGTCTCATATGTACAGTATGTATGCTCTTCTTATGGCTTTGTCTTGGAACACATTGCTGTGACACAACAAAAATCTAAAGTCTAGAGAGGAGAAGTTGCAAATGCATTATGAGCTTAAGTTTCTTTTTAAAAAATATGATGGCCAAGACTGGTGCCGAACGGGTGCCTGAGGCACAGGAACGGCTCTGCTGCGTTTGGGCTCATCGGACTCGGCTGAGTCTGTGCCGCCATCTTGCATCCTGCCCTGGAGTGCAGCTGGGTGCTCAAATGAGGCCTGAAGGTGGAGAAAAAACAAATGTGCGCTCTTCCTGTCCCTCCCACCAAGGATGGGCTCACAGTAACTACCACCTAAGGCATCGAGCAAGATTGCAATCCCGGAGCTCCGTCTCTTCCCCTCAGAGCAGGTCAGAAGGTAGACTTCAGTCACGGGTCACTCTTCTTGAGGTTGGTTCCCTTTCCCTTTGTAAGGTCCTGGCACATGGGAGCTGGCTTCCCACAAATGGGCCATTCAATGTGACCATGACATTACAAGTCCCCCGTGTTCTCAGCTGGTGGAAGGGTGAACATAGGATTTCAGGGTTCCCAGGAGGAGGGTGTGGCAACTAATGGAGAAGCGCTGACATCGGGAAGCCAGGGAGCAGGGGACCCACATCCCGCATAGGTACCCACTGACTTTGGGTGTCCGTGAAAGGAAGCCTGCCTTCACCAACTGGTAGGGCGTATGTGACACTTGAAAGTGAGTAGAGAGTAACTACTCTCCCACCCTCACCGCCTTTCAGCCCTGTTGTTGCTCATCATCATTTAACCTGCCCCCTTCTGGAACCCTAAATGCTGTGCTCTCGTCCTCAGTCTGAAGCTTCCCTCCCTTCCTGAAGCAAAAGAATCCTTCCCTGCTTTTTTGTCATTCCTGCTGACCTCCCCAAGCCTGCATCATACTTTGCACGTCTCTCACTGCAGCCTTCATTCAGTCTGGGCCATTACTGTTGACTGGCCGGCCCAAATGAAGCCACCCCACCCCCTCCTAGGAAGGGGGGGTGGCTGAGGGAAATTGATGGCCAAGAGGCATCAAATGTTGGTGGCAGAACCCCTCCATTCCTTCTCAGTAGTCTTGTAGCCTTAGGAGGTATTGTTAGAGGTCAGGAGGGGGGCATAAGGTAAGATTTAGAACCCACTCATGGGTTGTTTTGGCCCATCTCTGGACTATCCCAGGCATTGGCCATTTCCGATAATTGGCAGCTGTGATGGCACTGAATCTGAGTCACACAAGTGGCTCCAGTCAGTACTGGATATAAGGCCTGCAAATTTAAAATCATCCTGATACATCAACCCCACACTATTTGCTCCAGAGCAGGATTCAGGTAAAAGTGGATCTGTCTGCCCTGGGCCTCTATCCAGGCACCTTTTTTCTCTTCCCTGTTCTCACCACCTTGCTTCGCCCAGCTGGCCTCCTCACCCTCTCACTGCTATAAGGCTCACCCAACCGAAGTGGCAGGCATGTGTGCCCCCTTTCCCTTGAGTGCGTGATCAAAGAGAAAGGGCACCAAACAAGCCTTGCTTTGTCCGCACAGCAATGCTCTAGGCCTTGACTGCAAAAACAAAAAACAAACAAAAAAAAAACAAAAAAAAAAACTTTCTCACATGCCATGTTCCTGCCAGTTTTCTGTCCCACATGAGTGCTTGACAGAGTTTTGGAGGAAGTGCCAGGAACAAGGGTGTTCCGAGCCATCTTAGCCTCATGGTTTCACTTCCCAGTAAACACCACTCATCTCCAGGCGGGCAAGGAGGTAGTTCAACCCCAACACAACGGGGAAAGACATGCCACCTTCCTTCACTGCTTGCCCTGCTTGTCACCTAGAAGGCTGGTTCCCAAGGCCTCTGAAAAAGGGTATGTCTATCACAAGAGATGCTGGGCTCTGCCTACAAGTTGTTGGTTCAGGCCTCTATCTCTGGCTTTACTGCGACAGCCAGGTGGTGCCTCTTCTACTCAAGAGTGTGGGCCTACACCTGAGTCTACCTGCTCACTTCCTTCCTGTGATGAGGGGATGGCGACTTCAAAAAGCTCAGCAGGAATGCTTAGGGTCTGCATCCCGTTTGGCAAACCTAGGGCCAAGGATGACTACAGTCCTCCCTAGTCCATTCAGATGCTGAGCTCAGAAGCAAGGCTCCCATGGTGCTCTCTGAAACTCTTCAGAGCCCCCCTTCACTCAAAAATATGACGGGAGGCCATGAGAACAACCTAACTCATTTCCTGGTTGGTCCAATACGGTTCTACAGGAATCCAGGATGAGCTTTTGGAAAAAAGTGCCGAAGTCACAAGGGAACCAGATAGTCCTTAAGACCAAGGATTTCAGCAGGGTTATTTGAGGGAAAGCAGGAAAGGAGTATATTGTAAAATGCCACCAACTATATTTTCAGGTTGCATATGGTCTGCACCCTGGATGGCATGTAATAGAACAGATACGTGCAGGTAGTAGCCCCCTATTGGTATACTACGTAGTTTGGTGCATCAAACTGTTACTTGAGGTCTATGAAACTGTTAACTGGTCAGAAATGGGGAAAGCCATTCCGTAATAGCATCCTTTAAGGAGAAGCTTCAGGAGATATTTACCATCTGCTGAACATGGAGCCAAAGCAAAGCAGCTCCTCCTTCCTTTCTTATATAGGATGTTTTTCTTTGTTGCGTTTCCCACACATTAAGGTCATTTGGGAAAACAAGTCAAAACAATGAAAAGGGACAACCAGGAGCACATTAGGTCTTACACGGTGCTCTCATTGACAAAAACTGTCCTTTGAAGAAGAAATTAAAGGCCACAGTAGATGACCTTTTATATATCTGGCCTAAAGCAAGGCTTCATCTATGCGCCACATTTCTGAAGCTGGAAAGAAGTGATACATTGCAATGTCAGGTCTCAGTGGCTAAGCTGAGTAGGTTGGCGTTTGCCTTTGACTCAACTGTTTCTACTGGGGACAGGTTTATTCTGGCAGAGCTTGGGTGGCAGGAGGCAACGTGCAGGGCCCTTAGGAGCCAGAAGTAGCGGGTTGAGGGAACAGCCGCTTCCACAGGTGGCACACGTGGTGGGGGTAGGTGTAAGGACCAAAGCAGAAGGCACCCCACTCAGTGCAAGCCTCCCCGGGGCGCTCTGCGTGTTTCCCTAGTTAAAGTAGAGTGATTCTAAATGATGCTAAGAAGGCTTGTATAGGTTTTCTGCCTGGAAACCTCTCTGCAGAGCCCAGGTGTTGGGCTGAGCGGAGAATGAGGGAGAGTTGGTCCCAAGGCCTTCCCTTAGCGGAGCTCAGGGTCTCTCTGCTGAGCTGCAGCTCCTGTAACTATGACCCTTCAAACACCACCCAGGCATCCCCAGTGTCCCTGCCCTCCTCCCTAGCCTGCGTGGTGTGGCTCTTATGGTCTGCCCGCAGCCTTTACTTCTCATCCTCATCCCCCTCACTCAGGCTGCTGATGGAGGCTGAGGCAGCTTTGGGTGAGGAGGGGGGTGAGCTTTTGATTGGGAGCCATGAAAAGGTGGGCGACGGGGAGCGGGAAGGGGACCGGCTCCTGGTGGGGCTGCTCACAGGGCTCTGCTTCGGGGACAGGGCCTGTAGCATCCGGCTACTCCTCTCCTGGAACATCTGCTTCTGGAGAGAAATTGGAGAGAAGGCGTCTGTTAGTCAAGTTATCTGAGATGGCAGCAAAACAAAGGAATGGTGGGAAGGGGAGTCACCACCCCAAGGCCTGCGCTCCCACGCAGACTTGTACTACCACCCATGTGGGCCAAGACTCTCTGCGTGAAATTGAGGCCCAGGGAGCTGCTAACCCATCAGGGTCCATCACTGCTGGTGCCCGCCATGTTCTCCTTCATGCTGCCTCCTCCGTCTACAAAACCTAAGCAAGTGTGTAGTATTTGCTGGGCAAATAGCCATGTCCTAGGTACCAGAAGGATATAAGGAGGAATCTCACAAACCAAATCCACAAAATATGGTATATGTCACATGGAACTATAGTCTGTGAGAAAAACAAAATGACACAGGGTAGCAAAGAAAACAATAAGAGAGGGATGTGAGCCTAGGGGCACATGGGCTGTGACTGTAAATGGGGTCAGAGGGAGGCCACACTGAGAAGATGCTATTTGAGCAAAGACCCAAAAGAGATGAGGGAGGCGACCACATTAAGGGCAATTAGGAGGAAGCTCATTCCAGAAAGATACGCCCAAGGAAGGAGCATACAGTTCATGTGCAAGGATGAACAAGGAGGCTATATGGGCTCAAGTGGAGCCATCTGGTGAGGAGGGGCACGGGGAGACGGTGTTAGAGGCAGGTCACAAAAAAAGTCATGGAGAACTGTGTCATGTAGGGTCTTGGTGGCCATGCAAGAATTTTGGTGTTTCCTCTGAGGAGAAGAGAAACCTCTGGGGTTCTGAGCAAGAGTAACAAGCTGACTTTTGGTTTGAAGGACCAGTCCAGCTCTTGTGCCAGGAGCAGACTACAGCGGAGCAAAGGCAGGGCACGGACAGCACCTGGGAGCCCTTGGTCATAGGAACCCAAGGCTGTGGTGGCACCTTGCACCAGGGTGATGGCCATGAGGATGCTGGAAAGCACTGGAAGTCCAGTACGTTCTTTTGCCATAGATTTGTTAAGCTCTCATTTACTTAAAGTCAAACTTTTTAGCATACAGTTCTGTGAGTTTCAATAAATGCCGGCAGTTGTGTGATTACCACTACAAAGAAATTACAGGAATGTTCCATCAGTGCCCAATTCCCTCAGGACTGTTTCTAGTCACCCCCTCCCTCAGCCTCTGGCAACAGATCTGGTTTCTGTCCTACAGTTTTGAAATATCTAAATGGAATCATGCAGTAATGTGGTCTGGCTACATGTTGAGGGCAGAACCAACAGGACTCACTGACAGATGGGATGTGGGGTGTGGGAGGAAGAGGAATCAAGTGATTCCAGTTCCAAGCCTGTGAAACTGGAAGCCTGCGACGCCATTTGCTGGTGGGGTGGTGGGGGTGGGGTGGGAGGGGGTGGGAACTGTAGGGGTTGGTGCAGGAGGATTGGGTGGTAAAATGGACTTTCCAGTCTGGGACCTCAGATGACTGTCGCCTGGTGCTTTGGGGACCCAGACCTTCCCTGACACTGCCCTTCTGGGGATCCCAGTCCTGGCCCCAAGCCCCTGCGTGTCGGGCCTCCCAGAGCTGCCAGCAAATGTAACCTTCTGCTCTTTGCCTGTGGCATGCCTCACCCCCAGCTCTGTGCCATCCGCTTCTGAGCACCCTGCCCACACTCTCTTCCCTCATTTCTCCCCTGTGCTCCTCACCAAGACTCAGCTCCCAGCAGCTCCGTCCAATCTTTTGATCCTAAACTGATGTCCAGAACCAATTTTCCTATTAGTTCTTTTGGTTTTTGCTTATTGTTTGAGTTCATTTTACAAACCACTACTAAACAAACCCTCTTAGGGGCACGTCCTGTACAGGAGGTGGCCGTGTCTGAGCTGGGGCTTCTGCCATGCGTGGGAAGAGGCCGTTAGGTGGAGAGGGAGCCATGTGCTGGTGGAGGGAGCCAAGTGGAGAATACTGAGTGTAGTCCCTGTTGGGTGGCAGTAGCCTGGGACTAGACCCTCAGAAGGAGGTTGGATTTTTTTTTCCCCCAGAAGTCCCTGGAAGATTTTAGTCAACGGAGGGGTATGATCAGATTGGTGTGTTAGAAATGGCTTTGAGTGTGAGCATAAAAACAAGGAAAGAAACCATACAGGAAAAAAAATTGTTTGCCTGTATAAAAATTTCTGAACATTGCCCTGGCCAGCGTGACTCAGTTGGTTGGAGCATCGTCCCATAAACTGAAAGGTTGTGGCTTCAGTCTCAGTCTGGGCATGTACAGGAGGCAACAGATCCATGTTTCTCTCTCACATCGATGCTTCTTTCCTTCTCTCTCCCCCTCCGTTCCCCTCTCTAAAATCAATAAGCATCATGTCCTTGGGTAAAGATAAAAAATAATATAAAAAAAATAAAAGTTTCTGAACCTGAAAAAAGCCACCATGAAATAGGTAAAAAGAAAAAGAAAAACATGGAAAAATTTTGGAACATTTAACTACAAATTGTGGATCTTAGTATATAAACAAAGCTTAAAAATAAAGAAAAGAAGGTAAAAAGACTTCATAGAAAAAGGAGCATATGTCACATACAGGTGATTCACAAGACTTAAAAATGAACCATAAAAATTGTTTGGCATCATTAGTAAACAAACAAATGCAAAATGACCGAAGCAAGACTTTTTATATATCAGATCGTTAAAGACATTTTAATCTTCCCAACTTAAAAATTTTTTTTTCCAGATATACTTGACATATGGTGCTTTATAAGTGTAAGGTGTACAGTTCTGTGTTTTGATGTTCTTTTGTGTAATTACTACAGGTTTTTCCCTTGTGGGCACCACGAGGCTTACATAGAATAGCTGAACATTATAACACCCTATTTTAAACTGATAACTTCAATTAAATTCCTGAACTTTATGCTTCCACTTCTCCTCCCCCTCACATTTCAGGTTATTGATGTTACAGTTAACATATGCTTTTACTGTATAAATAATAACAGATTATTGTAGTTCTGGTTATTTTTACTACACTTGTTTTCTAGCATTTAAATTAGAGTCGTCAGCGAATTATGCATTGCCATTACCACATTACAGAATCTAAATTTGACTTTGTATTTACCATTACCAGTCAGTTTTATGCTCCCTTCTTTTGGTTGGTTTTTTAGGGGAAGGGCATCGAGGGAGATGGAGGGGAGGATTCAGGGTTGTAATTTAAAATTTTTTCCATTTCATTTTTATCTTTGGAGATCTTAAGGACTGTGACAGAAAGGGGCTTGACACAATCAGTGCTCTGATCTCAGCGGACCGAATTTCTGCCCGCAGCATTAGTCCAAACCAGCAGATTTTCAGGTCAAGATTTCTGCAGGTTCCCCTGAGGGGCGAGACTGGAGTCAGGGCTCCCAGAAAGTGACCTACAACGATGGGGGAGCTGGATGTCTGCCCCGGGCTCTCTTTTCCCACTGAAGGAACGATAGGCGCAGGGGAGACCTCTTGGCCTGCTGCTATGTCCTGGGGGTTGGGGGCTGCTCCTATAACCTTTCCAAAATGGCCAGCCTTGGGCTCGGTGATGCAGGGGCTGCTTCAGCCTCACCCATTGTTTTAGGATTCTCCCAGGGGTGCCTTATCCATGAATAGTTGCTAGTTCTCCTTGTGAGGGGGAGCAATGTCAATAATGACCTATGCCGCCATCTTGTTGATGTCACTCTCCCAAGATTTTTAAAAATTTGCAATGGCCAGTGTTGGTGAGAGTTCAGGGAAAAGACCACCCTCATGTTCCTGCTAGTGCAAGGGTAAAATAGTGTTTTTCTGAGGGGTAATTTGGATATAGGTGCAAAAACTTTTTTCCTGCGGAGATAATCAGAGATGGAAGTAACTATTGATCCTGTACGTGGATATTCAGTGCAGGGTCATAACACACAAAACGGAAACTCTCTAAACGGGCAAGAGAAATCTTGCATGACTGGGAGGCTATACTAAGCAGCTGATGAAAATCAAGTCCTTAAAGAATATTTAATAATGTGAGAAAATGTTCATGAACTATTATGAAGCAGTAAAAATGATTTTAGAACAACATGTTCTGCACAATCTCAATTTTGTAAAGGTAATATATACAGGGGTGGGGCAAAAATAGGTTTACACTTGTTCATTGAAGTGTTATGACCAGGCTTTCTGATTTAAAAATACTACAATAATTAATAACTCAAGAATAAACTGTACTTCATGTACTCAATACTGTAAACGTACTTTTGCCCTACACTGTACCTGTAGATGGGAAAAAGATTAAGGTAATACCCTCAAAATATTAACAGTGACAACTCTGGGGTGCTGAGCCTGCAGGTGGCTTTTAGTCTCTTTTTTTATTCTCTATTTTCTAATAGTTCTGTAATGAATACACATTACTTTTATCATCATAAAAAAGCAATCATGATAGGGAGGATGAGAGAAGACTGGGCTAAGATTAGGCCGAAGGGCATTGCTATAGTGACATAAGTGAGACAATAGTAAGGCCATCAATCCCCCCAGCGCTCCTTTTCCCTTTATAAGCTCTAGCCTATTACTCTTTAGAATCTCAAGTCTCCTCTAGCAGATATAATAGTGATGACTTGCTGATCGCTAAAATTCCAGATTTAAAATTCTACAATTCTACAAGTACACCGATTATTCACTTTCTGTTAAAGGTATCGATAACTCTGCCAAAAAACCTAACTCCTGTCAGGATCAAACAAAAAAAAAAATGCTATAATGAAACCCATTTATGACACAAAATCAAGTGCCAAAAGGATAGGGTAGCTTATTATTAACAGCAACATAAAAAAAAAAATCCTTGAACTTCTGGCACACACTTTAAAATATGTATTTTTATAGCTGTAATCTTTAAGTATAATTTTAGTAGCACCCATTAGCCCTCCTGCTGTTAATGGATTGTCAGCATTTCCATTAGAAGCCCACTTTCTAAGGAATCTACAACTCATCTACTATATTTGACTCAAGCTCATAACTGAGAACATGCTGCCTAAGGGGATGAAATCATTTGAATCTTTAATGATAAACAATGGTGTCGCACTTTAAAAACACGATATCCATGCACAATAAGTCTGGGTCTCGATTTGCAAATTCTCTGATCTGTTACTGGTGCATTGGGAAGGACAGTTCTCCTACAAAGAAGCTGAATTGAATCAGGTCAGGAGACAGTTTGTAATGAGCTTCCTGGGAAGAAAAGCACTTTAAAATATAGCAAATAATGAAGACCCTGGCATGGCATTTTCAAAGAGAAGAGGTACTGAAATTCAGACTTTTACTGTATTAAGAGGTTTTCATTTATAAAGTTTTCTCCCAAGAAAATAGTCCCATTTAGAGTCCTGTCCATATTAAAGTATTTTTCCCCTCCTACAAAAATTTTCCTTTTAAGTTCTTAACATCTACTGAGGCAGTAAGTGGCATGACAAATGTCTTTAAAGCTTTCAGTATTTCAGATACATTCCACCATATCTGCCAAAAAAGAACTGAAAAATATCCTAGTTACATCTGGTTTGGACCTCTGGGAAACAATGGAACTCAAGCAGAGAGTTTCAGTTGTGGCCAACTCAATAAACAAATAACACTCACAGCGCCTGACACATGCCTGCCAGGCACTTTAAAGGGCTTTAAGTATAAAACAGTTTCATCCTCCCAATAACCCTAGCAGGTGGCTGAGATGCAAAGGAACTTCCCCACGGCTCCCCAGCCAGGAAATGAGCCCCTTCTCATGACCAACTCTCTGTAATTAGCTACTTTCATAATAAGAAGCTTCCCATGTTTATTCATGTCTTACTTGTGCATTCACTGGAAGACAAAATTTTTAAACCACTGTCAAAAAGGCTCACGTGGGAAACCTAATTCAAATCCACAGACTGAATTTTATATTTATTTTCTCAAAATGAAAACATTCTTTAAAATGAGCAGTACCAGAGAGATGGCTATTATAAAAATACCCCCCAAAACCCCACCAAAAACAAACAAACAAAAAAAACAAACCCAACTAGTACTAGAGGAGATATAGATTGCATGAGAACAAACACAAATATTCCCTAAGGACAGGGGGGCAGCATGAATGTGTGAGTCAGGTTAGAGGAGGCAGCACGGAGGTGCCTTGGACACCGCAGCTGGAGAGTTCGCGCCCTCCCTAAAAGAAATTTTAAAACATTGTTGAGGGCCAAGCCCAAGTCTGCCTGCTAAATTTGATCTGCCAAACCCCAAGTTGGACCAAGCTTTGTATCCAGCGCCATATCTATTTGTATATATTGCTCTATATACGGATCAATATAGATTGATGGAAGACTGGGGCCTCACCATATCCTTTGCAGATGTTGGGAGGCTCTATGAATAGGTCTTTATCACACATCCATTCATCCATTCATTCAATCCAGAAACATTTATGGAATACCCACTACAGGCTACGTACTAATGCCTCCTACCAATCCTGTTGTACCAAATTTTGTACCTTAAATCCTTCTATTTTCTGCCTTTTCAAGTTTGGGTTACTTGTACGAGTACTGTTATTTTCAGATAATGCAGATCCTCTATTTTAAGAAATGAGTTCCAGTCCCAAATCCACAAATAAAGAATTATTATAATAATAGCATATTCATGAAAAGCAAATTACTTATCTTGGCGTTTAACATCCTTGTAACTATTCCTGTACTTTTAATGTCAACAGAAAAAAGTAATGTCTAAGTCTGGCTGATATGGTAAATTAATGCTAATAACAGTTTTGACACTAATAGCAAGTTTTAAGGAGAAAAACCTCCAGTCTCAAAGCTGGATTTCATTTCTGAAAAATCACCTTGGCTCACTGTCACCAGATCCCCCTAGAACAATTCCAGCTACTATTTCACCTTCACTGGGAGCCTGAAATGACTAGGGTCTATGTAAAGTTTCTATGAAATTATATTCCTTCCCTGCCTTTGCTCACTGCACAAGGAGAAAACACCCACCCCCTTGAGTTACAACAGCAGAGCTTTTCAGCGAAGACACACTTCTGAATACCTATAAGCAAATTAATACCTCCATGGTTTCATTAAAAAAAAAATACCCCACTACCTGGTTTCTTCAGAGCCTGAAAATTAGTTGTGAAAAATGTGAACTATTCAATTACACACTGGATTAATGGGAAACTTCAGGCTTTATGTTACAGAGATCATGGGATACCAGACAACAGGATCTGCACTTTATCTTCATGTTCTCCCTAGTACTGTGCACACGCAAGGGCCTTAATAACATCCTATGCATTAAACTGACCCAAGTGAACATTTTAACATGCCCAGGAAAAATGAAAAGGAATCCAGCCCATGGCTCCTCCATTCTTGCCATCTTTTCTCAGAAGTCAACAAGGGTTCAAGCAGCCCCTCGCAGACTCAGCCAATAGGAGCTGGTTGTCCTACAATATCCACCCTCTACAATCAGTTATAGGACGCTAGGCTTTGAGCAAAGCATCTCTTCAAACTTCTCAAACATTGTTCTTTTTCTATTACTAATTGAGTGTTTTACTTTTAGATAATCCTATAATGAACCAGCTCAAATGAGCAGAGAGGCAGGAGTGACAACCCATCAATAAAATAATTAAACCAAAGTGGATTTTGTTAGAGACTTCTCATGTCATAATAGGAAATCTAGGCTACTTAAAATCAGGGAAATCAAATGGAATAATTTTTTTGTTTGAAAAGTAAAGTTACCTGTAGAAGTAGTTCTTTCATAGAACCCTCATTAATTCTGCTGACAATACTGGTTATTTACTCTGGAAGTGCGTGCACAAAAGAAAATACCAATGGAGTACAAGGTGGTTTCCAGAATTTTCTTTTCCCTTCTCATAGTTTTCACGCAGAATTTTCTGTAGAATTTACACAAGAAACCTCAAGATTTTCTCTCTCAGTTTTAAGGTGCAGATCGTGGCCTTAAATCCCTAAAGACTCTTGTGCCAATGCATACATGCCGTGTAAAATGGCAATTAGGGCACAATGGGCACAGATGCAGGGAAAACCCTACCTCTTCTCTCTTCCAACCAACGAGAGATGAGAATTACAACAAAAGGTGACCAAGGCAGCTACATTTTTTTTTTTTTGCATCCTCCTCCCCTGGATGATCTAAGAACCCGTTAGTTTTGTCTTACAACACAAGTTCCACAATGCCACTGACCCAGTTCACCCTTACCCCCAAGCTTTGCATCATCTCCAACTGGGAGCCTGGGATGAGCTACGGAACCAACTTCTGCAGTAATAACATTCAATGATTACCATACGGCTTCAATCTCTGAACAAGAAATCGAAAGAGAGGCCAGAGCTCGCTTTGGGTACTACTGGGTAGCATATTGAGAGGTAAAGCAGGAACTAAATAAGGAAGTGATATGAACTTGAAGTCACCCAGGCTGATTGATACCCAAAGTGGAGGCCACATACTGGGCTGGGCTAAGAGACACCCTTGAGTGGTTATATGAAAAGTGGGTACTGAAAACACCCGTCATTGTGAGGCCAAGTGAAAGAATTACATACCCATGCTCCGTCAGGCCCAAACAGCTCGAGGAAGTTGCCAATGAATTCCCTGGACTTCTCTTCCCACTTTTGAATTAGATCATGACTCTTTTCTTCCACTCTGTTAACAAATTCCTTTGATCTTTCCTCCACGGTCTTCACCTTTTCTTTCATCTTGTCTACCTGATTTTGAAAGCGGTATTTCTTCTCCTGGTCAAAAATTAAAGGAGGAAAAAAATGGATTTATCTGAGAGGGCATGAAGAGAGATCGGCATTCACACTAATCGTTATATTTTATTTCGACTTGTGTTTGTTCTTAATCTGAAGAGTCAGGGTGTTACAGGACTGATGGGAAGGGACATCTCTTATAAGAAAAGTCACTTGTCGTTAGTCTTGTTGCATATGAAAAGTGAACTATAAGTGGTTTTAATATTCTTTCTTGTAAACGTCTTAGCTGAATTCACTTATATAAGAGAAAAACCAAAAATACATGTTTCTTCTTTATTATGGGTAGATACTGGGCAAATACACCCCCTCAGTTCTGCTGAGACTTAGACAAAAGTATAAACTGTACACAGAATGGCCACTTGGAAGATGCCTGGGTCTTAGTTTTGCTGGGACATTGTTAAAACCAGTATCAGCTGAAAAAGTGAGTCATTGGCTGGGCCTCAATCCATGTTATACTCAAAATTTCATTGTAATGATATTTTCCTTTAAATTAATTGAACTGTATCAATTCCCTTGGTGAAAAAAAAGAAGCTTTTATCCCGATAGTTTCTCTTGACTGGGACTTTGGTTTTCCTGTAGCCTTTATGCAGCAGAGCTGACATCTATGTGCCTGGAAGGCATCGTATGTTAGGCAAGTCACATGTCACCTCAAAACCTCAGTTTCCTCATCTGTAAAGTGGAATAATGATCATCCCTACCCTATAGAGTTGCTGTAACAATTACATAATGCATGGAATGTGCTTTGGCACAGCCTGGCATTTAGTAAAAGCTCAGAGTGTGTTGTCTGTTTCATTACTGTTAAGCGGCATATGCATTTAATCCTGTTACCCAATGAGAGTTGTATCAAAACCATGAAAATAACATGAGACAGAGGGTCTTCCCCTCCATGAAATCATGATATATTTTCTCCTAAATAGGTAATGAGGTTTCTCTTTTTTCTTCTCTACATGGGTCTGAAGTTCATTTCGTATTCCAGAATTTTTTGAGACAACTGGAATATTGCAAAACTGGGTCAGGAGTCCCTGATTTAGACCCTCCAAGCTTTACTGCAGCCTCAGGGTGGGTGGGAGCTATACGTGCTGCCACGCAGCTATTTTTAATATATGGTTACTATACCCAGCTCTCAGGGCAGCGGGCAGTGGCGGAATGAGCACTGGACAGAGTCACGAGGCAGGGAGGCTGCTGTGGCCTCCCCTCTACTTTGCTTGTGGAGCCTTGATCACAGTCCCTTTGAACCCACCTTTCCTCATGTCTAAATGCAGGGACTTCGACTCGGTGACTGACCCTCGGCAGGTTCCTGTCACCTCTGAGGTTCTGTGATTCGTCTACATGCCCATCCAACACATTTGACTCCATCTCTGGGCTGCAGCCGGGCTGGTTGTCACAGAAAGGCCACGAGAGTGTCCATGCTGACTACACAGTCCCCTGAGCTAAGTGGCTTATCCAAAGGCCGCTTTAAAGAGAATGAGCAAGAACTTTTGGAAATGGCCCATAATGCTTGGATGGTTGACTGAATTTAGTTTAAAAGACCAGTTGAAATTATTGTAATAACCAGGGATTTATTCTCTATGAGAATACTGAAAAACCACTTCGACTGAATTCTTTGCAGCCACTTATTCAGGTGCCACTTGAACCCCACATGTTCCTCTTTGTTGTCCTACTTGCTTGAAGCCACAGAGCCTGGACTGCCAACATCCCCCACCTCATGAGGAACATCTAATAATCCCTGATTTACAATTAGTGAGCCCCTCCTCAGTGTGAAGGTACTAGTGATCGATTTGTGTAAGCTGCCGGATAATTATGGCTGTGCATAATTATAAGCATCTAGTTTTGTAGAAAAAAAATCTCTCTTTAAAAATACAGTATCTATTTTGGGGAGCTGAACTTCTGTAGGGATGGAGAGTTCCTCTTTGAATCAATTACATAGGCTCCTCAGAGTCTAGGCAAACACAGTTGTCCAGACTTGCTAACATCACCTCCAGCAACTGGGCTGCCCTCTTTGCCTTTTAACAGCGTGTTTTGCTTGTTTTAAAGATTGTTTTAACAGTTGCTCTATTATTAAACTAACAGCAGCTCTGTGGGAACAATACGGCAGAAATATCCAAGGAAACCAAAGACTTTAGGCTTTATTTAAGCAGCTGTAATTTCTCTGGACAATAAAAAATAGTTGTTAAGGTGTCTAGTGAGCATCTGTAAGGTCTTAATAAAAAGAAAATTTTAAAGTGTTAGACCAAGAAAGCATTTTCTCTGAGTTTAGCTTTCCATCGCCTCTCTGAGCCTCCTTCTTTCCCTTTGAGCAGAAGAGAACTCTTGCCTTTCATGAGGGAAGATCTCCCATCAACCCTTGACCCGAGTCTGAGCGCTCTAAAGAGGGAGGTTGGGGCGAGGGGAGGGAAGCCAGGCAGCTCCTTTGTAAAATGTGAAACTCACTACCTGTGTGCCCTGGTAGACATATGTTACCCCTTTGGACATTGGTTTCTCCATCTGTAAAATGGGGATAATAATAAATCATTGGGTTGTTACATGGCTTGAACGAGACGTTGCATGTGAAACATCAAGAACACTGCGTGGCATATAGTAAGTGCTCAATAAACAGTGGCAGTGGTGTGATGTGGTGGTCCTCAAAGGGTACAAGGTGGCACACTTACATTTATAAAGCTGACATTCAGTTCCTTGGCTGTGTACCCTCTCTGGAGGTTGCGACGGGCATAAACATCATAGTCCCGGACAATTCTGGTGATGATGTCCGATGTTGAGATGCCTTCCGTTCTCTGAGTTGGAACGAACATTCCTTTTCAAGGAGGAAAGAGGAGATAAAGAGAAAAAATTATGATGGACTTGGCTGACCCATCTTCTTTCAGCCCCCTTTCCAGGGCAAGGTTGCAGCCCCGGGTGCTTCAGTGGGGTTTCCACATCTGGCCCAAGCTGGTTCTTCCAGGCTCAGTCCTGTGTGCTTCTTCCTGCCATAAACACTTAGTGTTCATTATTCTGGATCCGCTTTCTGGATGCACCATGCACTCACCCAGCTCCCGGCCTTTGCTCCGACCCCACCTTTCCTTTCTGCCTTGAATCCTCCTTCCCTGCTTGTATCAGCCACATCATTTCTCCTAATCCTGCACCACCCAGCTTTGAGGTTATGCCTCTGGGGAGTCTTTCCTGACACCACCGGGCAGCATCCACAACACTGAGGACATGCAATGAGAACTATGCCCCGTGCAGCTCTATGAGCACATCTTTCATTAACAGAAGTTACTTTAAATGTCTGTCTCCTTGTAGAAGGAGTACATTCTGAAAGCACAGATTATGCCTTGACTATCTTTGCTTCTCCAGCACCAGGCTCAGTGCCCTTGTATGTGGCACATGGAAGGTGCTCAGTATATGCAAACTAAATTAGTGTATAGAGAAGAAAAATTGAGTCAATGACTTAGATAACGGCAACCCTGCTTCTTCCCCAAGAAGGTCTGTGTCATTTTATACTGAAGAAAAAGAAGAAAAAGTACACTATTTTTGTTGCCTCTGATCTAAAGACATGCTCGTGGGGTGCTAGATGATTTTATTTCCCTAAGACTGTTCTACTCTGGATGGTGATTTCACTATTCAAAGGCCCTTTCATCCAGAATACGTGATACTGAGAGAAAAAAAAAAAACAAAAGCAGAGGATGTCAAATTGCAACAGAACTTCCTTATAGCCAACTGAAATGCTGTGTTGGCAATTGGGATCTTTCTACCCACTATGATTATGGATACTCAGTGAGAGACATCAGGCACAGGACGGCATGATGGATGGAGCCTGGAGACAAGGGGGCTGGGTTCTTGGTTTGTAGACTTGGGCAGTTTCTCAAACTTTGGAAGGCAGGCTACTTAATCTCAGTCTCTAAAGCTCAGAAATGAGGTGGCTAGACAAGATGACCTCGATCTCATCCATGCCACTTCTCTCTCCCTCACTCTTGACACCCAATTTCCTTCCAATCACCAGTCTACTTCATGTATGTCTCCCCAGTTGACCCACTTTTCTCCATTCTCCATCTAAACCAATCTAATGTCATTCTTTTCACAGAGCCTCAACATAAATCTCCAGAGATGCTTTTTTTTGTCCCCTCAGTTCTCTCTCCACATAGCAAGTCCGCAGAGCAGTCTTTCAAAATGCAAGTCGTATGCCTGTCCAACATCCTTCATGAGCTTTCTACTGTCCTCTTTATTTAGATCCAAATCTTCAACCTGGCTCTGCAACAGCTTGTATCTCTTTCCTGTGCTTCTCTCCAGTCTCATCTCAAACCCTCTCCCTCGCCTTCACTCCCTGAGTCAAGCCCCTGTGCTACACAGCTGCGGGGGCCCCATTCTCATTATATTCTATGGCGCTGGGCAACAGGCAGCTCCCTCCCCTTCCTCTGCCCCAGACACACTCCACTTTTCTAACTCTTGGTCATCCATTGGGTTTCACTATAGTGTCACTTCCTCAAGGAAATCTCTCAAACCCGCATTGGGTCTTCCGGTTGCTATCTCCCTACCAAGGTCCAACTACCCTTTTTCCTTCAAATATTCCAAGGTCTTTATAAAACAACTTGTTTAGTAACTGCCTCCCCCACTTGACTCTAAGCTAACATGAGGGAAGGAACTGCTTGTGTCTCATTCTCAGAGACAGGTTGACAAGTAGGCACTATAGGAACATCTGTTGAATGAATGACTAGATGAATATTGATCTCTAAGTGCCTTTCCAAATCCAGTTTTCTCTGATTCTATCAACATGGATGAATGTTTTAGCCTTCTGGAGCTTTCTTTTACTATCACTGTACATTCACAGTAGCAGCAGCAGGGTGGCACTGCCGATGTTAGAGACAAAGCATCCAGTTTCCAATATTCTGTGGCTCAGAGGACAGAGCTGGGGTTGCCACTAGACCAAAAACTTCTTTTATCATCTTCAAAAAAAGGTGTACTCCAAAAAACCAGATAGAAGGCAGAGGATGCAAACATCTAAAGGCATGGATATAAATAGCACCCAAGTGACCCGGCTGTGCAGGGTGCTTTGGTGAGTGGGGGGACTCTGAGTGGTCCCAAGCCTGGGGGCGGGTCAGATAACAGTCTCACCTTGGTGGGAGCCATAGGGAGCTTTCTACGTCCCATCTTTCAGTGGATACATTTCACCCCACCCCTGCCTCCTGAAATGTTAGGATTCTCTAGCTATTAATGGACTTTAACAAAATACTTAGACACTGGTGACATGAGCTCACCCTTGCTTTGAAGTCGCAGGGTGAGGTCTCTGTAGCTGAGGAACTGAAAGTTGGTGTTGGGGAGAGAGTTGCTTTGGCTGGTTGGAAGGTAGGTCTCTGAAAGAAGCCAAGCCCTCCACTGATATAATGAGGCACCCGGCTTCCTCCACATCCTAATTATTGCTCTGCTAAAAATATTCAGTAATGAGCATGATCAGAGAACCTTTTTTATCGTGCTTTTCAGAATTGCAGCATTTGGTTATGGAGCTATTTTAAGAAGCAGCAAAGCACATGTTAATGAAGGAAACTTTCAACAGTAGTAGGCAATATTAGAATGATGATGAGTAATGTGGACCTTACAGTCTACTTCATTTAAGTGCCATCTTTTCATCCAGGTTGGCTGCAGCATTTTGACACACAGCTCTGATAGGCAGAGCACTCTACAGTTTAAATCATGCCCTTGATATCTCTCGGTTCATTTCAAGTGATTTCTGACTTTCAAAACACACCTCAAGTATACAAGCCGAATGTGGATACTTAGGCCATTTCTGAGCATCTTTATCCCACAATGAATACTCTGGCCTCCTCTACCTGGCCCCAAACACATCTCTGTGGGTGTCTCCCTTGGTGAGGGCTCAGCAGAGCAGCTCAAAGGACCACAGGAAAGGGTCCCTGTGCATAAGAAAAGCCACATATTGTCTTATGCCTGTGCTCCCAGGGCAAGTGAAGTACCACCTGACTATTCCATTTGGGGATGGGAATTGTCATGAATTAAATAGGGGCACAATTCCCATCCCCTGGAATCTGGGCTGGCCTTAGTGACTTGCTTGTAACAAATCAAATGTGGTATACGTGACACGAGGTGACTTCCAAGGCTAGATCAGAAGTTGTTTGCAGCTCCTCTTGACATGGCCAGCCCTCCAGATGCCCACTCTTAGGACTCATACTCTCAGAAGCCAGCCACCACGCTGTGAGAAGGCCACACAACAGGGTGCAGCCATGTGCTCCAGTGTCAAGCCCAACTGGGGTCCTTGTGGGCAGCCAGCCTCTGTTGTGCCCCAGTTGGGACCTCCAGTCCATTTGATCCTTCAGATGGCTGCAACCTTAGCCAACAGTTGACAACAGCCATTTGAGACACCCCAGGCAAGAACCACCCAGACAAACCCTTGGTAAAACCCCACCCCACGAAATCACAAGCAAAATAAAGTGGCTCTTTTAAGTCATTAACTGTGGTGGTAATTTCTTAAGCAACGATAGGGTGCTGGATTGCTTAGAGTTAGAAAAATGTTGGACCTGTTCCTACATCTAAACTAGACTTGAGGTTTGACTCCCAAAAAGCAGGAAAGCAACTTTTTCTTAGCTCACTACAGGCCGTTCACCCAGAAGTAAAATCACCATGGAATGCTTGCTCCTATTCTTGTTCCTATTGTACACAGAGGAACTGTCACCCAGGAAATGCTGATTGAATTAGCCCTGCAGGTAACCCTGGGTGAACCAGAATCCCTGGTCTAGATCCTTGATATTCTACATGAGGTCTATAGACTCACAGTTTCTAAGAACCTGGGAGCACATCAGAAATGGGGATCTTAGGTCCCACCAGGCCCCCTGAATCCAAATGTGCACTTTAAAAGGATCCTGCAGGGATCTGCAAGCACATTTCCGTTTGACAAGCACTGGTCTCTACTGGGTCCTCATGAGAGTTTTAGAGAAGGAGTAGCTGGCTCATGGCTCAAATCTTAGAGACTTAAACTGATGTAACTGCTGTATCAGCCAGTTTATCCCTCTCCCGGACATGGTACTCAGCAGCCATGCAAGTCTGAATTCCACGGGGTTTCCTTTCTTGGAAGGCCTTTCAAACAAGATTGGGACTGGAGAATGTCAGGCCTCTCATGCTTACCGAATGCTTCTGAGCACTGAGGGAGTCCTTTCTAAGAGCACAGAGACAGAACTGACCACCAACCCTGCTGGGGGCTGCATGGAGCTTTCTGACGTCAAGGGAAGGTAGATGGGACTAAGAATTCAGTAGACTGTGTTCAGCTTTTGACTTCTAAACCAAGCTCTTGTGAAGGCTCATTTCAAAAAGAATAGTTATGAAAGGTAAGGCCTTCACCTCAAAGAGCCAGGCTTTAAGGAATACAAAAAGGGTTTTCTATATCTCAGAAGTGTCCCTCTAATTGTTAAGAACCAAAAGCTGAGTGAACTCAGGGTACAGTATGTTTTATCATAAGCCCCAGAGTGGGGAGACATGAAATTGACAAGGAGGCAGTTTCCTGCCTCCAGGAAGAAAAGCTCCTCCTGGGGTTGACAGAGAGAGCCCAGGCAGGGATCAGGAGACGAGCAGTGAAGCCAGAGAACAGGAGCAGGGCCTTTCCCCCTACTCAGGTTCAAACCCCAGAGGCAGGTCCGACAGGGCCTGACGTGCCTCCCTCCCAATACCTGTGCTACCTTTGCCCTCCAGGAGATGATGGGGGACACTTTCCAAGTTTCCAGTGACCCTCTCTAGGAACATTAAAGGTAGCTGAGATTTATGATTAGCATGACTGCTGGGTGGCACACTAGTAGCACCGGGAGTGACGGTGGCTGAGGAACAGAGGGAGGAGGTGACTGAGTGTCAGAGGGTTGTGATGGCCATTTGGCAGCCACAGGCGATGGCTGAACAGGACTTGATCCACCAAAATTTAAGGTCAGCCAGAACCAGATTCCCAGCCCATGACAGGCCAATACGTAGGCCCAAAACACACCAGAAGAAAAAGGCCCAAAGTTGACTCCACATAATCTAAGTGCAAACCTAGAGAAGTGTGAATTACTTCGAATGTTAAGCAGAGTTTTTTTCCTGGAAATGGGGGCTTCTGAGTGAGTTCAGTTACATAAATTACTTTTGTTCTCTTAGCCCATTGGTCGCTCCCCTACAAGAGACCTGCTCATGGTACTCTTTTGTGTCAGAGTGGCAGCTAGCTTCATGTGACATATAGAATTAAGCCTAAACCACCCGTCCTGCCCGTCTCCATCTCTGCTCTCACCTCTACACACCCTGTACTACATAAACACTGTTGATTTTCTCCAAATACGCTGCATTCCTTCATATACTCCCACTGTTGGGCATGCCTCCCCAGCCTGCTATATATGCCCTATCACAGGTTTATTATATTTTGGTACAATGAATTATTTATATCTGTTTCTGCTCTTTCTCAAGAGTTGGGGTATGCCTTATTCATATTTATATTCCATTTCCTCTCCAACAACTCCTGGCTTGGGGGTGCACTCGGGAATTCATGGATTAACCAATGAGAGTCAGAACCATCCAAAGGCAAAACAGTCTGCGGAGGCAGGGAGCTCCCCGCCCCATCATTGGGGATGGACAAGCATCAGGTCTACCAGAAGCTGACAGTGTTACCAAGGAAGGGACAGGAGACTACGTTTGTGACTCTGAGGAGCCCATCCTACCTCAAGAATCTGAAGGTCCATGAGTACCAGGAAAACGCTGGAGTGGCAGTAGGCTAAGGGTAAGGGATGGTGGGACCAACGTGGGTTGGGTTCCAGTGGCCCCCATGAACAGGGAAGATGGCTCTGATGGCAAATGTCAGCAATGGGCCTCAAGTATGATGCAGGGCGTATCAGACTTCTCAAAATCCCTCAGTAAAGCATATGGTAATTCACTAGAGTATCTGTCTCATGTCAGATCATGGTTAATGTACGTAGGAAGGTACACATGGATGCACCTACAGTGCCTATCTATAGATGAGATGTATGACAGAAAGCAGAGTAGCAAAACATAAACCAAGATATTGGAAATCTCCTTCTGCACCTACCTCCAGCTAAAATACCAGTTCTAGCCCACCTCTTCCTTACCCTTCCCTGCTCTGAGAATCTCACACAGCAATAAATAGGCTGACGGGAGGTTTCGGGAAGGTGGTGTGATAGCGGAAGGGGATGGAGAGGCTGAGTAATTCAGGCTACTGTCCTGCCCCCTCCATCTTGGACATCTCCATTTTTAGGGTCAGAAAAGCCATCTGACCCTGTAAGAGGATTAAAGTAATTACCATTTCCCCATCTGTCTTTTTAAGTAATCCAAATGGACATAATCTGGGGAGTCGGAGTATTTTAAAAATCCCAGTAATGACTATTTTAATTCTTAGGTGATTATTTTAAACTCTATGACATTGACTAAAAACCTCAGCTCAGAAAAATGACAAGTATTGGATAGTGAGTGTACAGGAAAGACAATTTTTCCATTACACATTTGCCCCCAAAAAGCACGTACAATCTGTGATTTATATTCTCCTGCCTGTTATAATTAGAGCAAGAAAAAGGCAAATTCATAGCTGTAATTTTAAAGATCTTTCATTCAGATCATAGTCACTTTTGAAACAAGTCAAATGGCAAGCCCTTCCATCTCTCACTGAGTTTCTGCTGGGCTGTAAGGCTATGACGGTTTGGAGTACTGCACTCGCTTTATGGCGGCAGTCTGGAAGCGAACCTGAAATGTCTCTGAGGTATGCCTATGATTTTGTGGTCAGCATCTCCTTCAATAAAGGGGTGTGTGAGGGACTCAGAGCCAAGATAGCAATGAAAAGCAAACAAATTGGATGCAAAGGTCCATATAATTCAGGCCAAAATATCACCTTATATATAAATAATAGGAACAAGCCCACACAACAGAACTGTGGCAAATTCTCTAAATGGCTCTATTCCCCATATGGTGGGAAGAGCTTTTGCAGACAGAAGGCTTCCATCTTAAGCTAACTCCCCATCATACCCCATAGAAGTACTCTTCTTCTGCCAGCATTAATGCATATTACATATGTACCAGGTACCGTGTTTGAGATATAAAAATGGAGGAGATATGGCCGTGGCCTGTGGCACTTCATTCTAGCTAGGGACACACACTAAGAAACCATTAGGATGACATGAGAAGGGAGCTGAAAGGGAGGTCCATGTGCAATGAGTGTCTGAAGAAGGCAGAGGGGAGTGGTTATGTCTAAGCTGGCTCCTCAGTTGGGCCTGGAACAGGCATAGAAGCTCAGAGGAAGGGCATTCCTAGTCCAGAGAACGGCAGAGCAAGGGGGCACACCAGGGGGTGCCTGGACTGTAGGGCCTGTGGAAGGTGGTGCGTAGAGCCCAGGGTGTGAGATGGAGAGGCCACACAGGGCTGAGGGAGAGAAACAGGTAACAAAACCCAGGGGCGGCCAGAGAGACCAAAGGGCAATTAGAAGGTCACAGAAGTGTCCCAGAAGTGGTGGACAAGAGCATCTAAGAAAGGAGACTAGCCAGCGTGATCATTACACCTGGAGGAGGACTGAAATGAGGCCACTGGATTTGGTGGTTCGACGGTCACTGCAGAACTGAGGAAGGATGGACAGAAGTCAGAGTGCAGGTGGCCGAGGAATGGCAGGGAGGTGCGCCCGCAACTTGCCTGGAAGAGGAGGCCTGAGCAAGGGTGTGGCTGGAGAAGGAGAGAAGAGGGAGAGTAGAGGGAGGATTTGGGTTTGTTTCATCTGTATTTGTAGACCTCCACATGACTGCAAGCTGAGAATAAACTACTAGAAAGTGAGAACCTTGGATGACAAATAGAGGAAGAGGAATGAAAGAAAATAGGATCCAGGAAAGGGAGACGGTAGATTCAGATCAAGAGGTTAGCCTGGGACAGAAAATGAACCCCTCTTCCTCAGGATGCAGGAAAAGAGGTAAGAATGCATGACTTACAGATGAATTGGCAGGGGGCAGGCAGGGAAGCGGGGGTAAATGTCACCAAGAATCCTGCTGAGACTAGAAACCACAGATCTGTCACGAAGCTCCAGCAGTGATCCAGCAGCACAGGAGGAGGAACAAAGAACTCGATGAAGAAATTAGCCCTGGCTGGTGTGGCTCAGTGGATTGAGCACTGGTCTGTGAACCAAAGGGTCGCCAGATCGGCTTCCAGTCGGGCCCCAGGACTGGGTTGCGGGCCAGGTCCCTGGTAGGGGGCGTGTGAAAGGCAACCACACATGGATGTTTCTCTCCCTGTCTGTCTCCCTCCCTTCCCCTCTCTCTAAAAGTAAATAAGTAAATAAATAAAATATTTTTTTTAAAAAAAGAAATTAACTCCAGGGAATCTGCCATAAAAGGAAACCCACTTCTCTGTCTCCTACTCCCAACCAGTAACTCCCTTGAGTTGACCAGTCTTTGACCTTAAAAGAAATGTTTAGTGACAAATGGGACAACTTCCACAGCTCAGGCACCGTGTCTGCCCTCCACGGCAACACTTAACAGCTTTGGGAAGAAAATGTATTACCTAAATCTACAAATACTTATCCCTTCTTTTTTGGTCTCTGTGCGTGGTACCTGAGGATATCATTATCATGTGAGAAGATGACATATGGCCGGACTGACTTGGCAGATAAGGAGTCCAGGTCATTAATTAGCCAGTTATCTGTCTTCTGGGAGAAACTTTCTTGGGAGTATAAAATAATTTCGTTGTGAGGACTTCATTGTGAATAAGGAAAATGACTGCCCTTCCATAGGGTCCTGTGATTTTAGTCTGATGAACTTTAAAATCAAGCCTCAAACCGGAAGTTGAGTACTTTGGGGCCCACGTTAATTCCTGTATTAATACCTAACTGGTATCTGCACCATTTAGCACATGTGAACAGAGTCGTACAAAGGCTATTTGGGAGACCTCTGAAATTCCAATACCTTGTATGTGTACACTGCATGCCTACAGCAGATGTCTCATTAAACCTGCTTATTGTGCCACAGTGCATAGGGGAGCCCAGAACTCCTCACCTGCTTCCTTTATGTGCTTGTAAACATCATCAGAGCCAGCAGAAGAGTACGGAATGTCATCATGGGCCACAAAGTCAATCTGTGGAAAGAGAGAAGAGTGATGTCACCACTGGGGTGGAATTTAACTCATCCTAAAAACTGGTGTCCCCTTCCGATGGCACCTGCATTTTCCCAGTTCACCTAGGCCCCAAACACCTTGAAACTGGTCTCATTTCCTTTTTATTACTACTATACTAATCCAGGATTATTGATACCAACTTGTAGCTGGGCTTTCTCTCTGCAGGCTCCTCTCCAAGCCATTCCTCTGTCACATGGGGACTCCTCCTTAAACAGAGGTTTCTCTTAGTCATTCTCGTGCCTGCTGATCTCCACTAGTTCCCTGTTTGCTACCACATCAAGTGAAAACACCCTTGCCTAGATTTCAAAGCTCTTTATAGCACAGCTACACTCCACCTTGAGAGGTAGCTTGGAGTAGCAGTTTAATTTGCCTGGATATGATTCCTGCTCTACCACTTACTAGCTCTACAACTTATAAATCAGTGGTAACAATTAAATCAGGATTTCTCAGCCTCGGTGCCAGTGACATTTTGAGCTGATAATTCTTTGAGGGGTTCTGTCCTGTGCACTGTAGGATGCTCAGTAGCACCCGTGGCATTTACCCACTAGATGCCAGTAGCACCCCTGTAGTTGTGACAGCCAAAAATGTTTCCATATGTTGCCCAGTGTCCCTTGGGGGTAAACTTGCCCCGACTTGAGAATCACTGGATTAAATGATATAATTATGTAAAAGTGTTTAAAAATAAGAACTGGTACACAGTCAGTACTCAATAAATGTTAGTTGATATTATTCTATTGTTAGTTGGTATAATAATAACACAAACTTTTCAGGGTAGCCATGATATTGAATATGATTTGTGTAAGGGCAAAGCCCTTGGCACAGGGCTGGGCACATGGTGAATACTCAGTAAGTGGCGGGCGTCGTCACCATCACGAGTCTCCCCATAATGCCTAGCACAAATTGAATATACAATAGATGCTTAGTAAAAATGTGTTAGTGATTGCTGGAAGTAAATCATATTGTAGTTCTTCCTTTTTCTTTTTATTCTCGCTGGGAAATTGTCTCCTCTGCTATTACCAATGCACATTTATCAGTGTTCTCTATTCTGCATCGTGAATTTAAAAATAGACAAGAAAACTCTTAGAACAGCTTAATCTTATTTTTTTGTGCTGCTTATAAAAGGAAAGAATAGCTCCTAATGTGGGGCTGGTAGGAAGATACAAAGCACATAATTTGATGCAAATCAAAAGAATTTCTCGTGTTTTCAGCTAATACAAATCTTATATCAGTAGGAGCCTTGGGGTCACAAAATCATAGATATAAAGTTCTTTCCTTAAAGGCTGACCCCTGCCCTTCTGGGTAAGATGTGTGTTCATTTGTTCCATGAAAAATAATGCCTGTGAATCTATAAGCACAAATAATGACAGTGCTGCTGCTACTGCTGCTGCTGATGGTGATGACAACGACGATGACATTTTTAGAGCTCTTGCTATAAGCCAGGCACTGTTTCAAGGGTTTCACTTGGATGGACTCATTAAAATAGTACCATGAGGAAAGGACCAATATCACCGCATTTTAGAGCTTAGGTAAATGATCAATATTTTGCTCAAGGTTAGGGAGGGATAGAGGCCTCAGTTGGACCTGAGGGGGGAGTCTACCTCCAGAGCCCACAGTGAAGAAATGAGAAGGTACCAGTCCCCAGGATTGGGCAGGAGAGAGGTGCTACATCAAGTGACACCAAATGACAGTTGCTTTTTTAGAAACTGGAAGCACCTTTGGGCTTTCTGGATATTGGCTGCAGAGTCAGGCTCCCAATTCTGCTACTTAGAGAACAAGAAAGAATAAGTACCTTGTGTTTTTCTAAGAACTCGGGTGTGAGTGTCCATGGAGCATCTCTGATGACTTCATCTACATAGCGGCAGTGTCTGAGAGCTTCATATCGCTCGGCTTCGTTCATCACGGTGAAACCTTTGAATTTGTGGGTAAGGTTATCGCTGCAAACTGAAACAGGCAAATGCATTAAATGCTGTTAGCTGGCCCAGGCCCTGCTCACAGCCATGCAATATAGATATGGCTTCTTTTTTTTTTAAATCTTTATTGTATTTTTTTCATTACCATTTAGTCCCCTTATACTCCTCTCCACACCACAGTCACCACACTGTTGTCCATGTCCATGAGCCCCTTTTCCTTTTTGCTCAGCCGCCCCATCCCCTAACCCGCCCCACACTAGCTGTCATCTGCTCTCCATCTATGAGTCTCTCTGTTTTGCTTGTTAGTTCAGTTTGTTCATTAGATTCCACTTACGAGTGAAATCATATAGTATTTATCTTAAAGGAGCTCAGTCTCACTAGGTGCTTTGCATAATCGAACTCAGTTTTTAACAGGAACAAAGGATCGGGAAAGCGAAGGAAGCTGAAATCCACTAGCAATCAGAATTTCGTTTTCGTGCTAATTACAACTGCATTCTCCTATGAAATGGTGGAAAGAAGGGTGGCTTTTATTAAAATTATTCTCCACACTACTAATATGACTTTCATTATCTTTTTATTTCCCTCTCCCACCCTTCAGTGAAAATTACTATTCAGAAATAAACTGATCAAAGAGACGGAGAAGGGAGAGAGAAGGAGAGGAACCAAAAGGCCTAAATTATAGAAGGTTTGGGCAATCAGTTCTAATTCCTTTACTAGATCATTGTACTTAGTAACCCAAGTGTGACTCCCGTCATGGGCACATGCACAAGCATACTTCTGTTCCCTAGATTGAGGGCCAGCCACTACACATCCAGCCACACAATCAAGAGAACAAGGTCTGCTCAGCAGAGTTTATCCTTTCCACATCTCTTATTCTCTGTAGACCTCAGGTTCATTCTGAACTCACAAATGGGGACAGTAATAATGTCCACTATCAGCTTTAGAACAGATTTTTGGAGGATTTACATAAAAGTGCTTTGAAATTAATGGAACAATACTATTCATTATCCGATCCAGAATATATATATTTTATGTAGCAAAGGCAGCTTTCCAGATCTGAACTCCACGTCAGAGGAAATGTCATTGTGGGTACAGTCCCTATTTTTTTAATATATATTTTTTAACTCATAAATCATGTTTATTCTATTACAGTTGTCTCAATTTTTCCCCCTATACCCCCTCCACCCGTCCCACCCCCAACTCCTGCTCCCACAGTCAGTTCCCACTCTGTTGTCTATGTCCATGGGTCACTCATACATGTTCTTTGTCTATTCCCTTCCCCTTCTTTCCACCATTGTCCTCCTTCCCCATCCTCTCTGGTCACTTTCAGTCTGCTCCATGTTTCTATGCCTGTGGTTTATTTTGTTCATTAGTTTATTTTGTTGAATAGAGTCCACTTATAGGTGAGATCATATGGTAGTTGTCTTTCATCAACTGGCTTATTTCACTTAGCTTAATATTCTCCAGTTCCATCCATGTTGTCACAAAAGGTAGCAGTCCCATCTTTCTTTCTTTCTTACAGATTTTATTTTTTTAAATGTCACAGTTAATTATATTAAAAAATTAAAACCCTTATAAAGTCTCAGCAATTAAACCAACATGACACCAGCACAGAAATAATCAAGTAGATCAATGAAATATAATGAACATTCTAGTTACAAATGTATGTATCTAACAATATATGATTAAGTTGATATTTCAAGTCAATGGGTAAAATAAGACTTATTCAACAAATAAGGTGCATGGACCACTATTACTTGAAATAAAACAAATATAGAGCCCTATTTCACACATGATACAAGAAATATTCAGGTGAGTTAAAAATCAATATGTAGAATCTAAGGAGTTTTAGAAGAAAATAGAACGAATATTTTTCATGACCTGAAGTAAAATATTCAAACCCAGAAGATATAAAGTAAATATTGACATTATAACTATATTAAACATTTAACTGTACAGTAATATACATATAAAAAAAGTTAAAGGACCAGGAGTAGAATAGAAAAGTATTTGCAACACATGTAAAACATGGTTAATAGGTTTTTTTTTTAAAGTTCTATAAACCTTTAATCAATAAATGGATAAAGAATACCAAAAAGTCATTTAAAGCTTGTTTTTTAAAAAAATAATAGAAATAGGCAAGAAATATGCAAAAACAGGTTTAGTTTCAACAAATAGTAAAGGAACAATTAAAATAACATCATCGTCACAATCAGATTAATGAGCATTAAAAATATTGGTAATATCAAGTATTGGCAACTCAGAAAGTAACTGGGTATTCATAGAAGCTTTTTCTTCATCTTAAAGCAGTCCCTTTAGCATATTTTGCAGTGCTGGTTTGCTGGAGGTGTGTTCTTTTAGCCTTCTTTTGTCTGGGAAACTCATTTTGCCTTCCATTTTCATTGAGAGCCTTGCTGGGTAGAGCAGTCTTGGTTGCAGGCCTTTGCTTTTCATGACTTGGAATATTTTTTGCCAGTCCCTTCTGGCGTGTAGTGTTTCTGTTGAGAAGTCAGATGCTAGCCATATTGGGGCTCCCTTATATGTTACTACCTCTCTCTCCCTTGCTTGCTTTAGGATTCTCTGTTTGTCTTTGATATTTGCCATTTTATTGATAATGTATCTTGGCGTGGGCCTCATTGGGTTCCTCTTGAATGGGACCCTCTGTGCTTCCTGGACTTGTGTGACTTTTTCTCTCCTCCAATTAGGGAAGTTTTCCATCATGACTTTTTCAAACAGGTTCTCTATCCCTTCCTCATCTTCTTCTCTTTCTGGTATCCCTATTATATGGATATTATGATGTTTCAGGTTGTCCTGCATTTCTCTCAATGCCTCTTCATTCTTTTTGAGTCTTTTTTTTCTTGCTCTTTCTGGGAGCTTTTTTCTACCTTGTCCTCCAGCTCACTGATTCAGTCCTCAGCTTCATCAAGCCTGCTTTTGATTCCTTCTACTGTGTTCTTCAATTCAGAAATGGTATTCTTCATTTCCTCTTGTCTCTTATTGATTGTTTCTATGTCCTTTTTCATGCTGATATAGTTTGCAATAAGTTCATTGTAGTTTCCCTGTAGTTTTTTGTAATTCTCTCTAGGCTCATGAGTTCATTGAGCTTCCTTAGAACTGTTGTTGGAACTCAAAATCTGTTAGTTTACTTGCCTCTCTTTCATTTAATTCTCTTTCTGGGGATTCCTCCTTTCCCTTTGAGTGGGGCGTATGTCTTTGTCTTCCCATTATTTGTGAGACTCTTCTCTTTTGCTTCTGCTTCTTAAATTAATCAGTCTTGATTTCCTGACTTTGTGGTATGGACTTCTATAGTAGGAGTCCGCTGTTTTTACTTTCTGGATCTGCCTCTGATGATGTCAGATGTTGACCCTGTCCGACCTTAGGCAGTCTGTTCAAGACTTCCAGAAATCTACTGTTTGTGGCCGTCTCCTTCAGCTATTAATCTAGTCTCTCTGCACTCAGCAGGCTGCCTTAGACAGCTCAGGGCAGGGGGGAGTCCCTCCTGGGGGTGGGGTTATTAGGTCCTCTCACGCTGCTGCCCTATTGAGGACGAGTCCACACTGGGATCCCGCCGGCTACTCTCTCAGTTCTCTCCCCAAAGCCTCCATCCCCAGTCTCTCCTCAAGTGTTGCCAGACCTCTCTGTGCCCCCTTTCGCCAGGGATTTACTGTCTGTGGCTGCCACTCTGCACACAGCAGGCAACTAAGACAGCATGGGGCAGGGTGAAATCCTACTTGGGGGTGGGGCTATTAGGTCCTTTGACACAGGTGCTGCTCAGGGGGAGTGATCTGCCTGAGCAGGAAGGCTGCTGCTGCATGGCAGATGAGTCAGCCCTGAGATCCCGCCAGCTACTCTCTCAGTTCTCTCCCCAAAGCCTTTTTCCCCAGCCTCTCCTCAGGCGTCTCTAGCATTGTGGGTACAGTCTCTATTGACCAGTATCCCAGGAAGGGTCTTGCTGCGGAGGGTCAGACTGCCCTGACTGCTCCTTCAGAAGAGTTGTTTTTGTTTTTTTAAGGTATTAGGTACTGACAATACATTTATAAATTTTCAGTGTGTAAGATATGATTTTCAAACAAAAATGCGATCCTTTTCTTGGAACCAAGTCATGACTCACCTCCAGGACCAAATCTGGCCTCAGAGATAGTACAGCCACGGGTCACACCCAGGATCCTTGGAAAAGCTCCTGTTGCATCCCTGACACATTCCACATCCAAACCATCAGCAAAGCTACTCGCCCCGCCTTCCCTGTGCAGCTAGAAGCCGTGTTCTTCTTACTGCCTTCACTGCTCCCTTCCCGGCCCATTCACCATCTGTCTGTCCCATGGATCACTGCAGTGGCCTCCCGATTCTGGCCTTACACACCTCCTGTTCTCACCAGCCAGCATGGTCCCCCTTAGACCTCTTCCCTGGCTCAGGACTCGGGTCTCTTCCCATCTACCCCAAAGGAAAAACTAAACTCCTCCAGGGGCCTCCCAGCTCCTCCTACAAAATCCACACCTCCCCCCATTCCTCGCCTCTATGACTGCATCTTTTATTTTGTCCCAGCCTCTGGCTTCCTTCTTGTTTCCTGAAGCCACCAGAAACACCCTTCCACAGGTCAGGGTTTTGCATTTTCTGTTTCCCAAACCTGGAGCAGATGAGTTCCAAACATCCATAGAGCTCATTCCCTGTCCCCCCTCGAGTCTTCCCTGACTACCCTATTCTAAATTGCAGTCCTCCTGCCACCACTGGCAGTCCCCATTCCCTTGCATTGGACTTCTTGCCATGGCGCTTGTCTTCATATAATGGTCTTATTTAATTTTTTTAATGACTGGTGTTCCTCTACTAAAATAGAAGGTCCCTGGAGACAGGGGCTTTTGTCTATTTTATTTTCTGATGGCCCAAAGCAGGCTCTTAACAAACATTTGTTGAATGAATTAACAGTGGTTGATACGTATAGATGTTCAGTAAATGTTTACTATGATTTAAAGTAATAGATGTGTGTTTATCTGCAGGCATGTTTCAATATCATACATGCAAATAAGAGGCCAGTGT